AGGGGGTTCGCCTTGTTTCTGCCGCGATTCGACGTGGGGAACGTGACGGTGGACGGGGGTGGCAGTCCCGTTTAATATAAACGGAACAAAGGTTGATCGCGAAGATGGAATACTTTAATTTCTGGGTCACTCGTCGTCGCTGCGACCAGCTGTCAGCTGTGATTTAGCGCGAAATGGGAATTACCACCGGTGGAGAGATATTTGAAATACGAATTGTTGGATAAACTTGGAAAGAGAAAATCTGATTGTTACGCATCTCCTCTTTTGGGACTGCAGGTTTAATATTTTTGAATCTTTCTTTCTTTTCCTTTTTTTTCCCTTTTCCTCGCAAATTTCAGGATCCTCGTTCGATCGTCAACGTCGAGTTTATTTCGTATGCACACGTCGTTGTTGTTATTGCTGTTGCGTCAAATTTTGCACTTCGTTTCATCGACTCTCTCTTCAATCCTAATTGCAATTTGTTCCTGTTAACTGGATTTTCACGTGAATGCGCAACGATATTGGAAGTAAAGTTGCGCATAGCGAAATGGAAACACGTGTTAAATGGTAACGCATAACGCGATCGTTGCCCCATTATAAAATGTATTAATCGGTGCTCGATCTATATAATTTCAACCGGGATTATCGCCGGAATTCACGATTCCCTCCGCACCAGATATTTAAGGCGAATAATCGTATTTTACGGCGCAACAACAGCCCCGTAGAAAATTGATATTTTGCCGCTCCGAGAAACGACTTTTTCATTCTTGGAACGGGAATGCATGAATATTTCCTCCTTCCTTCGAATCGACTAAAGGGATAAACGTGTGCGTGTACATATTTGCCCGGAAAATTTAGGCTGAATAATTGGGCGCGGGATAAAAAAAGAAAAAAAGAAGGAAAAAAAGTAGATCAGCTGAGAGAGGAGTAGGGCCACGTTCAAAAATAGAACGGTCCACTATCTTGGTCCACTCATCTCGCCGGTTTCGTGTCACTGTCCTCGTAATTTATTCATACCCGTACACCCGTCCATCGTCTTGCTCCGGTCCATTCTGTGACGTCACGTTGACCCTTAAACCTGCTCCGACGACCACTCGCTCGATCCGAGATTCGCAATTTCCTTTCCGCGTGCCAGAATTTAATACGGATCTTCATCAAAGTTTCAACGGTGGATACGTTCAATTGTGAAGAAAAAAAAAAATAAAAAATAAAATAAAACGAGCATATCGTTCGAGGAAATGGAATTTTTTTTCTTCTTCTTTTTTTTCCTCTTTAAATATTTTCTTTCCAGAATAATTTTTAAGAGGAAGGAATACCGTTGTTCGTTTCGAACGTACGAATTATTATTTTTTCATTTATTTATTTATTTATTCTTTTTTTTCGATACGAAAGATGATACGTGACAAAATGTATCCAATATTTGCATTTCGATCGAACTTTTCCATTTGATTTCGCTCGTAACTCTATCCCTCCCTCCCCTCGTACGTAAACTGTATTTTATTCGTAGTTAAACGAATAAACTTTACTTCCCATATCGTTTTACACTGTCGAATTTTAATTTGTATAATAAAATCCAAATTTCGTATATTTCACGTAGAAATACATGTATATATGTATGTATATGTTTGAAATGAAAAATTGAAAGGGTCGATCAAAGAGCGATACATTATGCAAATCTGTGCAGGAACGCGTGACGATGTTTCATTCGGCCGATCATCGGATTCGCGGGATACGCGGTAAAACGTACCAATCAACGCTGCGGAGCGTGCTCATCCGGTGGCATTAATTTATCTGCAATTAGAGGGAAATTTCAGGGCGAAAGGGGGTCGTTGCCATCGAAATAAAACGACGTGCCGTAAGCACAACACGTGGACACAATGGCTTCGTAATGAAACGATCCTCCAATTCCTATCCTATAGGTCGACGAGAAAAAGGGGAGAGAGGGGGGGAAGGAAAAAAAGAAGGAAAAAAATATATTTTCGCTGCCTCGGTAATCGGGCAAGTATCGTTGCCAAGTCCGGGCAACGAAACGATGGAACCATTCCGTGTTCTTCCCCTCCTCCGTGTATGTGTTATCCGAGAAACGATCGATATTGATTACAGGTGCTGGTTTGCGTTCTCCTCGTCTTGATGACAATATATTTTTTTCAATATGTTCGTGACGAATGTTCGTTTTCGAATGGAATGTTGGAGATGGATCGCCACGCTCGAAGCAATATTGCATTCGAATTCAGAAACGTTAGAT